ATAATACGCTCTAGTGCTTCTCTCATCAATCATCTGTGCACATAATCTAAGGTCACCTACCAGTCGGAACCCCTCTAATGGTCTGTACGACTGGCATGTCGGAACCACCTCTAGTGGTCTATACGACTAGCATCTACTTGGATCCAAGGTGAGCGTGTGATGCAGGGTGAATAACATAAGCACTAACACCAGGGGTACAGGTTACGAGCTCTCAACATAATTCACATCATCATTCATTCATATAAACCATATAAACTCACCTGATACTCACATGTGCGTCCACAGCACCAATTCACATATATATATATATATATGCATCAATATCAATTCATATAATTTATAATATGCATCATGGCAATTGAAAACATACTTTCATATAAATTCAATTTCTGGGACAATTAATAGTATATAGGTAATACGAAAAACAAAAACTGCCCACTCACCTGGAGTTCGCCCAACAACTCCCTAGCACCACACATCAAGGCGTCGTGACGATCAGCGCCTAGAACGATAATCAAATCCAACCTCAGAATTCATATCGATAGAATATATAACTTATATAAGACACGTCACTACATAGTTCGATCCGGAAGATCTGCAACTCAGATTTCAAATCCATAACTTCTAGAGGTCCACAATATACCTCTAGGACATCATCCTAAAATTTCATTACCATCCAACGGTCGAATCTCCGTCAATTGTCAAAACCAAGTGACAGTTAACATTCTATTTTATGAACTTACAACTCCAATTCCGAAAGATCCGTATATCGGATTCCCGATCCGTAGGTTCCTATAATCCTCAAATATTACGTATTACAACGTATCAAAGTTTGGTGACGATCCGACGGTTGGATCGTCAATTTACATTTTCACCTAACCACGAATCGAAACGAACTTAGGTTCAATTACTCAATTTAAGTCCAACAATTATCAAAAATGAACCTAGAACCTTAAACACATGCTAAGAATGACATTGGCGGGCCATTGGCCACGCGCCGCCGCACGGGCCGCCGCGGGTGGCGGTCGGCCGCCCCGGCTCGCAGGAAAATCCAACTATTTCCAAAAATTCTCAAAAAAATACAGAACTGAAGATCTCAATGATTAGAGAAACTTTCATACATGTGGCCAAGGCCAATTTGGCCTGGAAACACTTCAAATTCATCCAATTCCGTGCGGACCCTAGAATTGGGTGAGTTCCAATTCGACCTTCAAATCAACTCCACCGTCCAAATCAAAGCTTGGGCTTTGTTCCAGGTCCTAAGGGAATACTAATGGTGTTAGTAATTGAAAGAAAACATTTCAAGATTTGAAGAATTTGGACAAGAAGGTCGCGGCACCCGTGTGGGTGTTCTTCGCGAAATCACCATGAAATTTCATGATTTTTTGGGTGAAACATGAAGAGGGAAGGCCTAGGTGTTGATTGGAAGTGGTACCTTGATCCAATTTGTGAGAAATCCGGTGAAAATCGCTGGAATTTGGGTGTGGGTGTCGCGGGTAAACGGGTTGGGAGAAAACCCGTTTTCTGATCTTTTCTCCTCCGCTTCTCGCCCTCTCTCCTTTCCTCCTTTCCTCTGTTCCGATCGGTCGACTTCTCCCTCTCTCAATCCCTCCTGATGCCTTCTTCTCTCTTGTCCTGGGCATTTCTACCCAATCTCCTTCCTCTGTTTCTTCCTCTCACGCACACACACACACAAAAACCTTCTTTCACTTATATTTATTTATTTTTGTTTTCCTTACATCCAAGCCATCCATTTAATTCTTCATTAAATCTGGGTCATCCAAATTTTAATAATAAAATTTATAAAATGCCCAAACTTCAAACTTTAAAATCTTTTTCGTTATAACTCCAAATAACGAACCGTCTGCGCCCACGCTTCCGTAGCGACGAGTACTATGAGGCTATGTCAAGAAAACAAATCTTAAATGGCGCGACACCATGATTAACCTCAAATAATGTGCGTGCCTCAAAGGGCATTTTTGTAAAATCCTTTATTAAAACTTTAAAAATTGTTAAAATCAGGGACGGACTGTCACATAATATATATACATGCTTAATTAAGTCACTAAAATTATATTTTACATATTAATGTAGGTAAATTATTTCATACACATATATAAAAAATGCCTAATATATGTAAAAATTCATGCAAAATAATTTACCTAAAAAAATAATGTTAATTGATTCAAATAGTGCACCTACTATTAAAATTTTAAAATGTTAGATTGCTCAAAATAATTTACGCTATCTATGTAAAATACATGAAAAATAATTTACCTACATAATAAACAAACCCAATATATGCAAAATACATGCAAAATAATTTACCTACATAATAAAGCAATATTATTTTATTTAATACTAATTTACCTACAAAATATATTATTTACTAATCATAAATTTACATGTAGGTAAATTAATTACATATAATAATTTTTTAACATATATGTCAGTACTGCGCATATATATATATATATATATATTTGAATGTATAATAGTACTATATACATATAGGTAAATTATATATATATATATATATATATATATATATGTGTGTGTGTGTGTGTGTGTGTGTGTGTGTGTGTTGAACTTTTAGTAGTACGATATACCATTGAACGTATGGATATTTATAGTAGTACCGTATTCTTTTGAACGTGTATATATGAGGGGTAATAGTATGTGCAATAATTATTTGTTCATTATAATTAAGGTAAGTAATAATATTTATTAAATTGATTGTGGCACAAGTTGTAAATATCTTGTAATAATAGGTCAATTACTTTTCTATTTGGCAATCTTTTTCAAATTTGAGTTTTTTATTTTATTTTTAAAATTAGGTTAATTTTTATTTAAAAAATAAGAATTGCAAACGTCTATATCTAAATAACCTTTTTTATTTTTGACCTCTCAATGTGGCTTGTCTTGGAGGTGTCAAATTGGCGGGTTAGCCCAAGCACAGAATGAACACGACCCGTTCAAATTAGGCACGGGCTAGTCCAAGCATGCTTTAGATACAACCCAAGCCCAAGTGAGCCGACTTTAAATCTAAATATGCTGTGTCGGCCCATCCCATTTATTAAGTGATTCGACCCGATCATAGCCGAAGCTCAGGTAAGCCGACTTAAGTGAGCTGGGCTGAGGGGCGCTACGCTGCCTCGTTTGACACCTCTAACTTGTCTAGTGGGTAGAAAATGGTTTAAATTTTGTTAGGCTTTTTTAATGGGTAATGGTTTTGTTTTTTTAGCACAACAATATACATTATGAGGAAATAAGGAGTTCGGCTAAGCCATACAATGAACAACCTAATTTGGTATCGAATTCATTAACAGGTAATGCTACGGAAACTAAATTTGTAGACAAAATTTGCAAACTAAAAGGTAATGCTAGGGAGATTAAATTTATAGACAAATTTTGTAAACTAAATGATGTGTCACCAATATGAATGAGCACGTTTATCAACGGTTAACTAATAATCCAATCATCAACTTCCATGTCATTTAGTTTACAAAATTATCTACAAATTTAATCTCTCTAACATTATCCCAAACTAAATGATGTGTCATCAATAGGAATGATCATGATTATCAAATCTTAAATAATAATCCAATCATCAACTTTCATGTTATTTAGTTTACAAATTTTTTTCTACAAATTTAATCCTCCTATCATCACTCTTTTTTAATAGTGTTGGCCGAATTTTAAAGATGCACTACGTCAAGTATAATTATATTTTAATAGATGAGTTAGAATTTAGTCATGCTAAGAGTTCGATTCCCTCGTTGTTATCAATAATATTGTAGTATGAGTTAGTTTAACACATGATTAAGGCTAAAAATTTCCTCATACAGGGGACATTGCCATCTAGTCCAAAACAGAGATCTCAAAACCGGATGTGGAGAGGAGTGACTATATCTTATGCACTTAAAGCAATGTGCTTCCTTCCTCTTGCCATAGCTGGATTTTGGGCTTATGGAAACAAAGTGAGAGACCTTTTCCAAATTATTTTAACTGAACTGTGAAAAATATATCAAACTGGGGATACATGCATGATCAGAGATTTACAATGTCTTTTGAATATTCATGCAGATACCATCTTCATATGGAGGACTATTGACCTCTTTTTCACAGTTCAATGGGCGTAAAAACACTTCAAAAGCTGTGTTGGGACTACTTTGCATACTAGTAGTGATAAACTGCTTGAGCACTTTCCAAATCTACAGCATGGTAGTTTTTGATAATTTGGAGTTTAAGTACACTAGCAAGAAGAACAAGCCATGTGCAAGGTGGCTTCGGATAGCTTTTCGGATTTTCTTCGGAGGACTGGCATTTTTCATAGCAGTTGCTTTTCCATTCTTGCCGAGCCTAGCACCTCTAATCGGAGGCATGACACTGCCACTGGCATGTGCTTATCCGTGTTTCATGTGGATCACAATGAAGAAACCGGAGCCTAAGAGTACTATGTGGTTTGTGAACATTGGACTTGGATTCTTGGGGCTGAGTTTGAGTGTTGTTTTAGTCATTGCATCAGTTTGGAATTTAGCCGACAAAGGTTTACATGCCAATTTCTTCAGACCTTAAATTACTATTAGTTATATATTTACATGCCAATTTTTCTGGTTCTAAAGGAGATGTTAAAATTCTGTATAGATTGACATTCTCTATTTTGTTGTCAAATTTGAAGGGAACATCAAAAGTTTTCTTTTTGTTCTAATTGACGTCATCAATATTGAACAAAACTCTTTGCCTGTTTCCCAAGTGCTCACGGAAATTAGTATCATTTTCATACTCTTTGCGTGTTCTCCAAGTGCTCATGGAAATTATTACCATTTTTATTTTGCATGAACAAATGTAAAAAGACAAAAAAAACTCTAATACATTGAGCGAAGTGTGCTGTGATGTAAAAAAAATATTTTACACGCGCATGAATGCGTGCAAAAAGGCTAATATAGTTAGTATATATGTGAGGTCAAAGTCAAATGACTAAAATTAATGAATGATCATTTCAAGGACTAGAGTAAAGTTTTCTAATTTTTTATTGCCCAAACGCAAATGACAACTGCCAATACAAATTAAGGGAAAAAGAATTCCAATTGACAACTATTACCATCCACCATTGACCCGAATGACATTTCCTTTAAGATAAATTATTTATACAGGAAAAAGAAAAAGAAAGAAAAGAGTTGATCATATGACAAATCCACCATTGACCCTAATGACCTGGCCATTAACCAACTCCCCAGCATCTCCCGCCAAAAACCCTACAAGCTGAGACACATCCTTGGGCTCACCTAATCGACCCAGAGGTGAAGCATCCTCAATCCTCTTAATCGTCTCCTCACTTTTGCCGGCAAAGAACAGCTCCGTCGCCACAGGCCCCGGCGCAACGCAATTCACAGTTATTGCGGTGCCCTTGAGCTCCTTAGCCAAAATCTTAGCCATCGTCTCCACCGCCGCCTTGGATGCCGCATAAGCTGCGTACCCCGGCATAAGCGCCCCTACAAGGGACGTCGTTATCATGATTATTCTCCCACCGCCGCCACGCGCCAGCCTCTTGGCCGCTTCTCTGGAAACTAAGAACGCGCCTTTGGTGTTCACGTTGAATGTGTTGTCCCATTCTTCCACTGTCGTGTTGGCCAAACTAGGATACTTTGGATCCAAAACTCCTGCGCAGTTCACAACGATGTGGACTTGGCTCCCGAATTCTTCTTCCGATTTTTCAAAGAGTTGCTTTACCTGATCGGGGTCCGAAACGTCTGCTCGAACTGCAATGGCACGTAGTTGGGTAGTCTCGTGATTCAGCTCAGAGACTAGTTGATCTGCTTGTGTTGAGTTTGATGAAGCATAATTGATCACTACCCTTGCACCGGCAGAGTGGAGTTGGGTTGCGATGGCACGGCCAATGCCGCGCGAACCGCCAGTCACGATTGCTACGCGACCGTTGAGGGGAAGGGTTGTTTGAGTAGCCATGAATTGTAGGAGGTCTTATGTTAATTTGAGACGATGAGTTTAGACTCTGGTGATATCGGGTATGTCATATTTGGGCAAAATACATACGAGTATATATACTTAAAGTTGGAGGGGAGAAACATATTCATTTACTAAATAATTTCTCATCGGACGTGCGTCAGCACTTGCATAAGCCATCACATGTGTAAACTTGATAATATCCTAAAGATTGAAAAAACTACAAGTCAACACATGGATAAACCATAACAAATAATTATTTGACCAAAAAAAAAAAACACACAACAAATAATTAAGTTAGAATAGAGACATAATATATGGGACGCTAATTCAGTATTTTTAACCTATTAAGCGTTGTTACATATCTTAACTTTCTTTTATAATATTGTACGTGTTATAAAGATTGTATTAAAGTGTGATGATATAAATTTTAGATTAGATTTGATACTAGTTAGTCTTCTCTATTAGGACTTGTATTCTTTGGACAAGAAAAATTCTTCCCGCCCTTATTATTATAAAGAAAATTTAATGAAAAAGGCTTCCATACTTTAAATTTTAACAAAAAATCATGTACTAAATTTATTTAATGGTTATGAGAAAATTCAATAACAAACCAGCCCAACAAGACTGACCCAAACAAAATAATTTATTATGCATCCAATTTTACCCTTAACATCTTAGTGCTGCGGAACAAGTTCAGGTTTTGAATCTTCAGCCGATGGTGGTTCCTCCCGTTCATGGGACTTCCTCACCTATTGTTTGACTGCAGTTTCTTTGCCAAATTGATCACCATTTGCAGATGGAACCTACTAATCATTATCTTGCTTGCATCCTATGCATTGATCTCCATTAAACTTTCATCAATTTTCTGGTTTTTATTTATTTTATAGTTTTTTATTTGTGTGAGAACAAAAGTTAGAATCAAGAAAAAATTTAATTAGTCAATCAAAAGTAGCTTTTAGTTTTCATTTAAAAAAATCACAGAGGAAATAGTTATCAACCCCAAACGAGAATTTAATATGTTCATGAGAGAGAGAGAGAGAGAGAGAGCAACCGTGTACTGGATCTACTAACACAAAAGATTAATGATAGAAGAATTTAATTTTCATTTATTTCCATAATTTGCAAAAGTATTTTCATTCAATTGACTCTCTCTCTTCCTCGTAGTCTTCTCCTAAGAACTTATTAGAAGCAAAGTACTTGACTTCGTTGGAAATTAGTCCATATGAAAAAAATACATTATTTCTAAAACTGAACCAAAATAACTAACTATTTCTAAAACTACGGAAAAATCACACACTATTTCTGAAAACTGAACTAAAATAAATCATAGTTTTATTGAAGGGAACAAAGTGAACATTATTTCTAGAACTACAACAAATACCTCAACTATTCCTGAAATATAACTAAAATATCTCACGCTATTTCTTAAACAAAATCAAAATAACTAACATTATTTATGGAACCATAGCAAAATAATTCACACTATTTCTGAAACTGAACCATGTTAACTCACACTATTCTGGAAGGGAACAAAATAAACACTATTTCTGAAACTACAACAAAATAACCACCACTATATCTAAATATTTCTAAAATTAAAACAAAATAACTCACACTATTTCTGGAACAATACCAAAATATACATCTATCTCATGGATGATACACTATATATATATATATATGTATATTTTTTTTTTCCATACAATAAATACATATGTTTTGAATTAATTAATTAATTAATCTTTTTGCTCATGAAAAATCCAATGCTGCTGCCTCGAAGGCCAAAGGAAATTAAGCAACCTTTGAGCCTTAATTTCCAGGGGAAAGTTGTTCAAAACAAAAAAAATCCGGGGGAAAGTAAAAGAAGATGGAATCCATTTATCTCCAAAGTTCAACACATGCAAAAATACTGTATTTGCCACACCATAAAATAGTGCGCCATTTATTTTATTTTGAAAAAAAAAATAGCTGGTGCCTTTGTTTCGCCTCTTCCTGGTCACTATCGTGTGATTCACATGTGCTAGCAATCGAACCCACGACATGTCGTGTAGAATACAGGCCTGAAATTCGTCACCAACCACTGGAAACTCCCATGGTGGTTTATGTAATGTACCATTTCATTGATATTGAATTTGTATATATACTTATTTATTCATAGTTACATATTATGACTGAAGTTACGAAATATCAGTTATATCGTTAGCAGTCATTAATCATTATCGTCATAAGCAAACCAATAACACAATGTTACAATATAATTGATACACTCTAAAATTTATTATGAGATGTACCTTAATTATAAATTAATCTTATATTTGAATGCAAGACTAAGTTAGCTTATGGACTACATGCATAATAACATACTCTACAAAAGGTGACTAGTAATCTAATTGTATCAAAATGACGTGTTTTTTTTTTTTTTTTTTTTTTTTTTTTTTTTTTTGTGAATAAAGTTTTTAGCATTAATGGGCGAATCTCCCTCAAAATGATCTAAGAATACAAACTCTATCACTGCGTAATAAAACATGGTTTTATATATGTCTCAAAAACAAATCTCTATCATGCATTCCTGGTGCTTTGGGGAATACCAAGCAACAGCTTTGGTGAACCGAGAGCTTGGAGCGCATATCAAGGACAAAGACAAGCTTGTCCACGCATATATTCCAGCATGTTAAGGGTAATTATGGAAAAAGAATTTTATTGCGGGTTGGACTTTAATTTAGCCCATGATTTTAATATTTGTAGGGTTGGGTAGATGAATAGTTTTGTTTTAATGGTTAAATCTCAAGCTATTTTGTTTAAATAAAAGTTTATGGTAGTTTTTTGTTAGAAAAAAGTTGGCCCAAACCCTTTTCATTAAAGTTCCCTTATTATAAATAAAGACAGTACGTAGGGGGAATAACACATCCACTACACAACCTATAAACACATCTCTTTGCCGTGCACCCTTTCTCCCTTCTCAGATTAAAATAAGCCACAACACATTATTAACACACTTCTACCGCTACACTTAGGAATATGCTGTGGAAGTTTTCTACATCAAACCATCATCACACAATTAGGTTCTTCCAAAACAACGGTTTTTATCTCGATATTTTTGCAGCTCAGATAGCATGAACATTCACCATAATGCATGACCCAACTTTACATTTTTCGAATTTTACATTCTACATAAATTGTGATGCATTATATCCATAATTATCAAATTATATGAATTGATATTGCCATGAATTGCATCATATAACTGTTTATGCATTGAATTATATATTGAATATGCATAAAATTCAATTGAATTATAATCTAGAAATCAAGAAAAAAAATTAATTAATTAAAATCTAGGGTTTCAGAAAAACCCAACCAGCTAGCAGCGGCTCGAAGCCGCACTGCCATGCCATCCATGGCATCCCCATCATTGCAAGTTGGCCTGCAACCAATCCTTGCCCATGGGTCACCATCTCAACGGCTTGCAACTCGTCCTTGACATCGCTTGCTCAAGATTCCTTCGAATCTCATTGATTTTTTCGAAATTCTGATTTAAATTTCTAATGTTTTTGGTTGAAACGTCGAGATTTCCCTATCTCTGTTCGCCTTTACGATCGCTAACAACCCACGAGGGTACCCTAAGTCTTCCCTACCCAAGATTTGGCCACCTGTAGTGGCGATGCCAGTCATTTTCTCTGGTGAGAACACCTAGGTTTGCTAGGATATCTTGGTTTAAGCTCGACCCTAGTTTATTGGGCCTAGCCTTGACAAAGGCAAAAAAAAAAAATCTTTTTTTTTTCTTCTGGGCTCATTACTGCAAGCCCAACCTCGATCTCTACTCTTGACCCCTACTCTTGGTGTTCCCTACATCGAGCCACACCTGATCCTAGCTAGCCGCTAGTGACTCGATGCACCTGCCCCACGACACACTGGATTGCGTCCTCGGGATCACTTATGCTACTAAGTAGCGGATCTTGCCCTTAATGGGCCTTCTTGGATCTTACCCAGCGATTTGGGCTTTTCTGTTTGCTCGGCCCATTTTATACCCAGCCCAGGTTTTGGGCCTGGGCCGCACATCCATAACTAATTAGCCCATCTGTGGACTTTGGTCCATTGTTTTTTGTTTTGGGCCCCAAGTGTTATTGCCTATTTTTTTAGACAATTTGGGTTTTATAATTTTTCACCCACACTTTAATTTTGGCCTGAAGTCCAAATAATTAATTCAATTATAAATGCAGACCCTGAAGATCTATTTGCATGTTTTTTGTTGCATATTTCTGTATATTTATTTGTGTTTGTCTGCAAGAACATATGAACCTGAAGTTCATAATTCTTTTCGAACCTGAAATTTCTAGAAACATGCATTGTTTGAAAACCTGAAGTTTTCTTTAAAAACATTACCCATGAAAACCCGAAGCTTTTTTCATGTAACATTAAACCAATAAATGTTTATTAGAACCTGAATGTTCTACTCCTATGTGAATGGATTGATTTTTTTTCCATTACACTAACCACATTCTTGTCTATTTATTTTGTGATAGGGACATGTCGAATTTGAACAAACTCGACTTCACCACTTTAGATGTCTCTGGAAGAAACTACCTCAAGTGGGTCCAAGATGTAAAGCTCCACCTCACTGCAAAGAATTTGCGTCCCGCCATTGAAGATGAGATGGACAACCTGGTTGGCGAAGTTGAGAAAGCTACTGCAATGATCTTCATCTGAAGACACATTCATGATGCACTGCAAACTGAATACCTTACTGAGGAAGATCCACAAGCACTTTGGGTTGCTTTGGCTGATCGCTTCGATCACCAAAATGGCATCTTCTTACCTGAAGTAAGACACCACTGGCAGTATATGCGCTTCCGAGACTTTTAGTTTTTGAAGGAATATAATTCTAAAGTTTGTCGAATCCGATCACTTCTCAAGTTCTGCAATGAGAACTTAGTCGAAAAGGATCTCTTGGAGAAGACCAATTCGACCTTCTCTACCACCAATATTGTCCTGCAGTAACAATATAGGGTTCAGAAATTCACTAAGTTTTTTATTTGATCTTTGTTTTACTCTTGCTAAAAGCAGAATCAGATGTTAATGAAGAATC